GGACACCGCAAGCCACTTAAATAGATAAACACACTGCCAACACGGTAGAACTCATAGCCTCCTCCCCCTCAGATCTCACAAAAAAGCTCAACAGAACACGAAACCAAACGAAAGACTTGTGAGCTATAGTCTTACTCCTAAATTAACCTCTCCTCCCTCTACCGTGGATCTATATATGTCTATGGACAGCCGTGAGATAGAAATCAATCTTTCTCGTAAGCTGACAACAACCTCTCCTAGACAAAACGTGACAACGCAAGTGGAATTCGGTAACAAAACATACCGAAATACGCCACTTGTTGCGGAGAATCCCCAACATATTCAGACTCCCAAGAATAACTCACTCTTTAAGCTACATAATATTCAAAACTATGCGAAGCCACTTTTTGTCTCGCCTTAACCTTTCTCTTTACCTCCACGAGACCTTTTACCACTTTCGCTTCTAATACCACCTATAATATTTCAAATTTATTCAGTCTTGTTCTTCTCTGTCCAAATATCTTTGTCCTGAACCATCCAAAACAACTTCTTTCATCATTCTTAACCGTGTAGACCGAAAAGCCTCATACTCCTATCGCCTGTGTAAAAGTTGTGAGCCCCCTCTTCGCATAGTATCCCCCAACAGGAGAGTTCTGCTGCCTCTTTCCAAAGCTAAACTTCTACATACATCTCAGATTCCAAATTGTCAACACTATTTCTTTATTTTTACAAAAAATCCGGAGCTTTTTGCTTTCTCCCAAACTTTTCAATGAGGGGTAGCTTTCGACCACATTTTAGCACCCTTTCAAAATATTGTGCTACTCCCGCTGTTTGTCTAATTGTACCTTCTTCCCTTTCACCCCTCTGAGCCCCTGATCAAATTTTCCTAAATCTGCACTGTCTATTCTCTGTACATCTTCAAATTTCACCACATCCCGCTGTAGCTTCTATTCCTAATAGGCCCTATTTTTCTCAACTTTCGTTAATTTTGCTCTGGAAATTTACGCAGTTTTCCAAGTTTACGTTGAAATATCTCCTCGTTGTCCTCAACATATTCTGATCACTCTGCGGTTTTTTGTAGTACTCTCAGCGTTCCGTCATTCCCAGCAAATCGCTTTGTCCTGGATTTTGTTATGAAGAGCCGCAGCATTTGGAGCCAGGATGATGAGATCATCAGCATATGCTATGTAGTGCAGAGGATGGCCATCGACGTAGATGGGGTCATGGGCTTCAAGAACATTGAGTATTTCATCCATAGTCATGATGAAGAGAAGCGGTGACAGAGGGTCACCCTGTTTGACTTCTCATGTTGGATGACAATTCACTTCGTGGAAGAGACTGTAGGAGTTGGAGTAGTAGTTTGTAAGATATTCTCTAAGCATTGGGAGCGCACCAAAACTCTCAGCCACCCTTAGAATTGTTTGATGTAAGACGCTGTCGAAAGCTTTCGAGATGTCGAGGATAGCCAATGCGCAACTTGTGTAGTTGGAGTGCGCTTCTCTCAAGATGGCGTGAAGTAGATTGGTTGCTTCGAAGCAGCCATCACGTTGCAGGAAGGCAAACTGTAGTTTTTCCATTGGGAATGATCTGGACCATCGCTTGGCGATAATCTCGTGCAGACAGCGCGTAACAGCAGAAGTGATGGAGATAGGCCGGAAGTCGGTAGGGTTATCGGGATGTGATGTCTTCGGAATGAAGGTGACCCTGGAAGCTGACAAAGGTGAAGGTAAAAAAGACGTCAGCAAAAGAGTGTTAAGATACCCAGCCAGACTAGTGGGGTTGATTTTCTGGAGGTCCCTGGCGGTTGTGCGGTCGACACCTGCGGCGGATTTGACCATTTCTTTTAGTGCCCATTTGATCTGTTCAGTTGAAACTGGGGCGATCAAGTCGTTGTTAGTTGGAAGGTATTCCTGGACCGGTCTAGTGTCTGGTAGGGCTGGGCGTGTGAAGGTGTCTATCCAAAATTCATTGAAGCCTCCTATAGTGGAAGGCTGACATGTAAACGGGTCTCTCCATCTGCCACCAAGTACCGTGTTTGCAGCGTCTTTCGGCGAACGGTGGAAGAGCGTTTGCATATGGGCCTATAGAATGCGTCGCCTCTTCTTGTCGTTTAAGTTCGGCGGGAGACCGGAGACGTATCGCTGCTTGGATGGTTTCCATTTTGTAGGGAACAGTTGGTGGGCCTGCTTATCCAAAGGTTGACGTGTCTCCTCAAGAGTAATATCATTCGCATATAGTCGCAGAATAATTTGTCGAGTGGATTCAGTGTCCAGCCGCTGAGATGAATTTTCCAGTTGTGTGCTGATGGCAGCCAGGAGGTTAGCGTGTATATTGTCCATCTGGAGGCTTCTATGAAGTGTCAGATTCACCAGGGGCGATCTCTTGAAAAAGGCGGGTCAGAAGGATATCGTAGTGCTAGTTGGTGACTTAAATGTGCAGGTTGGGCGTCTAAGCTCATAGGAGAATCGTGTGGGTGGTCAGTGCAGTTGACATGGTCGCGGGTCAGATAACGGGGACCGCCTACTATAACTTTGCGCAGATCACAACCCATTTCTAGCCAGCACCAACTTCCGGCACAGCCGTCGCCGTGGCGCTGCCGGGCATCCTCCTTCTGCGAATCAAGCCTGGACTCAGATTGATCATATTGCCGTCAGTTTCCGGTGGCGAGGATGCATGCAAGACTGTCGCCCCTTCTGGAGCATATGCCTGGACTCCGATCATGCGTTAGTGTGTGCCAAGTTCGTCTTGCGATTTGGTGGGGTTCATAAAAGGCGTCGTCTAAACGTTGATGTGAGCAAACTAGTAACACCTGCTACTTGTTTGAAATATCAGAATGAGTTACAATCAATGCTTGCCAGCAACCCTCCAAGTAGTATAGATGAACATTGACTTTATCTGCAAGACGCCATACAAATGGCGAGTGTAGCCGCTTGTGGCTTGAAAGAATGCTTCGCTAAAGCTCACTGGGTTTCTGTGAGCTCCCTGAAACTCCTGGGAGAACGCCGGTCCATTCCGGCTGGCAGCGAGTCCAGCAATCAGCGAAAGGTGCTTACGCGCAGGATTAGACAGAGTTTACGTAAGGACCACGAAGCGTCCAGGTCATGGATGCATTGATCATGTGTTCACCCTTTGTCAGTTGTTGGAACATAGCCACACGTACTGCAGGCCAACGATCGTTGTGTTTCTTGATATTGGGGCTGCCTTCGATTCCATGGACAGAACTGTGCTCTGGAACTGTCTTGTTAGAGAGGGGTGTACCTGAGAACTTTGTTAACATCTTGAAAGCCCTATACAGAAACACCTCAAGTAGAGTTATGGCATGCAAGCAACTATCATCACTGTTCCCAACCAACAGTGGGGTTAGACAGGGTTGCCCGATCTCTCCATTTCTCTTTAACTTTGCCATCGATGACATTCTGGAGTCAGCTCTGAAGGATGTAAGTGGTGGTGGTGGTGGTGGTGTAGATCTGCTTTCTGAAGAAAGACTTCTCCACCTCGAGTATGCAGACGATATCGTCTTTCTGTGCGATAGCACGCAGGCTACCCAATCTCACTTAAACAGTTGACGATCAGTGTCTGTAAATATGGTATGTGCTTTGCACAGTCTGAGTGCAAAGTACTGTTACAAGATTGGCAGGAGCCTGTACTTGCACTCACTCTTGCGGGTGAACCACTTGAAGTTGTTGATAAGTGAGGGGTGACGGATGAGATTTCCAACCGTATAATGAAGGCTAGCGTGGCATACATCAACTTGAGCCATCTCTGGCGCGACGTTAGGTTAGCTATCAAAGGTCGGGTATACAATGCTTCGGTGCGGGCTGTCTTGCTCTACGCCTGTGAAACCTGGCCTGTCCGAGCTGAGGATGTGCGGCGACTCTGCGTGTTCGATCATCGCTTTCTCCGCAGGATTGCTTGCGTTCGATGACATCATCGCGTGAGTAATTCTGAGGTTCGGCGGCGTGTGTTTGAACACAGTGGAGATCACCATTCATTGAGTGTCGTCATCTGGAAACACCGGCTTCGGTGGCTTGGGCATGTACTGTGAGTGTCATCCCAGAGGCTTCCGTACAGATCTCTGTTCGCTAGCCCTGGGGCGGGATGGAAAAGGCGGAGGGGTGGTCAGTCCATGACGCGGTGTCGTGGGATGAAGGATATTTGTGCTAGATTAGCATCGGTTGGTGCGTCATGACTCCCTGGTTAGGGTCCGAGAGACAGCTCGAATCGACGGCTCGAAACGTTATCGGATATGGCCAAGAATCGTAATCAATGGCGAACGTGTTGCAATTTCCTTCTTTCTTCCCTTCCTGATGATAGTTGACGAAAACTGCTTGAACTTGTTAAACATGACTGTTTTCCTTCCAGATGAAGTTCTTTATCCGTTCTTTACTTAAATTTTCACTTTTAATCTATGTTGTTTTATTATTATTGTGTGGTGCATCTTTCTTGGTGCCATATTGTACCAAGTTTTTCTGCATTCAAACAATAATAATAAGTTTGCATTTCTAAGATTTTATTACTGATTCTGCCGAAGCTTACTTATTCGTAACAGAATGAAGTCCACCGAGTTTATTGCTGATCCAACGTTTCTAGTTGTCCTTTGACAATGGACGTTCAACGGGTTTTGAAACCGCTTTCTTAGCCTACCAGGGTTATGCCACCGAAAAAGTATTACCGGTTTTGATACGGCGTGTGTGGCATAAACATGCGTGTTGAGTAAAGTAAATTGTTTTCATTATGGAATGGAAAAATATTTGTGAATTTTGACAAAGCGACACATAATGTACTTTTCTAACGTGGATGTTATTACTTTGAAAAATAAAACGTTTCCAAACCTCTGGTTCCATCACACTTCATATTTAAAACTGAGGTAGATTACACCTCATGAACGCATGCCGTTCACTAACAATTGAGTTATTTTTAATCTTACATTCTTACGTGTTTTTTTTTATCTTTGTAGTCATCCACCTCGCCTTGTATTTGATGTTCCTTCGAACGATTCGAACTGGCTGAATGACGATTTTATGTTTACTACAAAGCCATCAGTTGATTTCAGAGCAGCAAATGATTCAACTAGAATAGACTTGAACAAAGGTGATTCACGTTTAACACCAGCAACATTTGTTAGCTATGCACCGTCAGCAGGATATGGTGAACCACTACCCTGGGATATCGTTGACTGGCAATTGAATAATGATGGATTTGAAAAGTTATGGAGTAGTCAAAACTCAAATGTAATTCCAAGTATATCTGCGAGTATCAAAGCAACTATCGACCCTACAGATATACTTGTTGATGCTGTTCATAATTTCCATCCTAATTATCGTCATTATACTCAGGTAATCTTTCATCGGATTATGCTACCATCCTGTGCTTGCATATGCCGAAACAGAGAATCAATAATGAAATGTGATAAACACTCGGACTTCTAATTCCTAATGATTAGATTGTTTTAGAAACATTGTCAAAAGTTGTCTTGCCACCCAGCTACTCAGTGCAAGATTTTTAATCTTCTAAACTAAGTTGAGATGAATCACAATAATCGCTGGTTTCTTAGAGTGACTTCGAAACCACCTGTTTCGACACTGCTTACTTTTGTTTGGGTTACCGGATTGTATTCTCATGTCTTACAAAAACATTTTGTGTGCCATTTAATTATTTCTAATAATTTAGAATTGATTTAGCCAAAAAGTTAAGGAAGTACACAGTGGTGATTGTACTGTTGGACAAGCCACCATCTACTCATGTCTTCAAATTCCATTAAGAAATAAACTGGATCTCTAGGCCCAATACATTAATTGTGTTTGCAAGATATACAACGTGGATGAGTTGTCCTATGTTATTTATTAATTTTTTTCGAAGGGATTAATGTAACTGTTGATCTTGTAGCTTATTGTTGTAATAGCATGATTTTTCAACTGAAGGAAACAGTAACGTCAAGTGCGTTAATCACTGGATTAACCATAATAGATAAACTATCTCTGCTTTTACCAGGCTAGAAAGCTCACTGCGCCACTGACTAGCACAAATAAGTGGAATATGTTATTCCCTACTTATATGTAGTCGCTGAACGTTATGTTTTGCTTCTTTTTCTACAGACACAAATGGATGAAGACAGTTGAAGATGCACGATATTTCTCCAGATAAAGTACAAATCATTTGACTTCTGCAGAATACATTCTACCAAGAGGATAATTTAATATGTACATCAATTAGTCACTCAAGTATTGAATGCTTTTTTCAATGATATATTGACCATTCAAATACGCTGGAGTCTTTCTATGCCTTATTCCTAAAAGTGCTTATTTTGTTTTCCTTCTTTAAATGAGTGGAAGCATTCTCAGACATGATATTCGATTCCAATAATCAATTGCAAACTTCTCGTTCCTTGGTTTGCTTCCATTGACCTTGAAATTTTATCTTGTCTTGATTGAATATGTAAATATATTTTCAGTGGATGGAGATTAATACCTGCTGTTGTGGTTTGCTGGTGTTTCAGTTATTTAAGTGATATTTTTGGCACAATGCTATACAGCATAGTGGTGTTTTCGGTTAAGTTCTGTCTCCGACAGAATAGGACCATAATGAACAGAAATCTACGGTTTAAGCAATAATTAAGTAGAGAAACACGAGGAACTGGGACGTCATAAAAAGTGACTGCATCACCACTGTTGAGAACGGTTTTGAGCCACGTCACTGATGGTCTCCAGCTATTTATCCTTGGAGTCTCGAGAGCCCCACAAGGTAGTATGAACCTTCCCGCGTACCGCCAGCAAACAGTCAAATACTTCATGGATTGATGCCATGTTTTGATTTGACCACTTATAAATCTTTCCCAACCTAATCCCATGCCATCTTACATTGCACAAGAAGGAATGCCACCTCTAGGTAGGAAAGTACGGCAATAGTTAGACGCTAGTAAGTATCTGCATATTCCAGAGTCTGTTGGAGCGTGATGAAATGAGGAATTCCCGACCGATGCCTGCTACCTTGACATGATGGCCGAGCTTGCAGACAGAAGACATCTGCGCTGGGTTACACGAGACAGTTGTTTGAGCTCATCAAAGAAACTGGTTGTGAGAGACAAATGATGAGCGAGACTAACTGTGAGGAGAACGTCGTCTTAACTATCTCTCAAGATAGAAGACTGGCCTACCGTCAAGCTCAGTTCGATCAACATCCGAAACCTAACTGAGTGGTATTTAGACGTCGGGCCTCCAAATAAAAGTGAGCTTGGAAAAGCTGTTTCTAATCTGAAAATATGCAAGGCAGCTGAACCTGATGCGACGACTTTTCATAGATTTTTAACAATGGTGGTGACGAAACTTTATCTGGGTTAACTAAGATAATCGGTAATGTTTGGTACAGGTGAAAATCACTGATTATCCCGGTTATAAGAAGAGACAAGCCTTCCTGTGATAATCATATAAGGTTGACTTGACTACCATACAGTCTGAACCTCCAGGTTAGAAACGAACCCTGAAAAGTCAGGTGGAATTTAGTCCGGGAATAGTGTCACTCACCATATCTGACTGTCTGTCTGAATAATAACAGAGCTTTTCAGGGAAGTAAAGCGTTTCAGGTTGCAATACACAGAGGTAGACAAACGAGAGAAAAGCAGTTATTCAAAGGAATAGATAAAAAATGAATGCATCCGCGCCACTGACAACGATTACAAGCTATGTCACAAATATCCTCAAGCCATTCATTCTTAACATCTTCAGGATGCTGACCCGACAAGCAGCCTATGGCTCACTACGCGACTCTTACATCTGCCAGGGGCGAATACCATTCCAAAGACTCGAAGATTTCTGCTCAAGTTGTTGGGAGGACTGCATTTTGTCAGTGTCTTCACCTAGGAGGAAAATGTCATCCACATACTCTATGTCGATGAAACTGTTCCTTGTTACATTACTTTAATTGTTAACTAGTTAAGCTTTATGTCTGAAATATGTTAATTGGCAAAGAGATCACTGAGATAGTAAAACGCCACGACTGATGCACTGTATTCTAAGTCGAGGCTAGTATTACATTCCCCAACTTGCGTTATCTCTGTTGTTGGTATGACATCTGACTATGCATTGAAGGAGGTCTGCTGGCTGGATGGCTGGATTCAACATGGAACTTGGCACCGAAGTGCAGCAGTTCGAGTTGCCACGTTCCAAAGAGCACACAAAAGTAGACAAGAGGATGAGTGAAGGGAATCAATAGAGTTTTGACAAGTATAAGAGTGAAACAGAATGAGTAATGGTAGAAAGGAATATGCAATATTACAGAGACTGAATACATCTGCGCCACTGACAACGATTTTGAGACATGTCACCTAGTGGCTCCAGCTACTGATTCTTAGAGTCCCGAGGGCCCCAACATGGAAGTCTGCATCTCCCTACCTGGCTCAGTTTGACTGCCAAGGATTTCATGGATTGATGCCATGTTTTTGTTTGGCCACCATTTACTCTTTTCCAACCTGCACCTATATCAGCTAGTAATGCCCGTCGGGGGAGGCGATGGGTAGGCGTGAGCAGCACGTGACCTAGCCATCTCAATCTATGTAACTTTATAGCCTCGTCGATTGATTTTCCCTCTTTGCCCAACACTACGCCTAACGTTAACATTACTTACTTTATTATGCCACCTAATGTGACAAAGAGATCGTAGACATCTATGATCGAAAACAGTCAACCTTTTCATGTCTTCAACTCGTATTGGTCATGTTTCAGAGCCATAGAGAAGGACGGAGCGAAATACTGAGCAGTATACACGTCCCTTGGTTGATAGCCGGATGTCACGCCTACGCCAGAGATGGCGTAAGTTAGCGAAAGCAACTCGAGCTTTTTGGATCCGTGCTGAGATTTCGTCGTCAATCAGTCCGTTGGTGCTGATACAACTTCCCAAATAGGTGAAGTGGTCAACATGTTCTATCACTTCATTCTCTATCACTAAGCTGGGAGTTGACGTAGTCCAGTCCTGTAGCAGCATCTTACATTTTACAGGGGCGAATCGCATGCCAAACATACGAAGATTGCTGCTCAATGTGTTCAGAAGACTCTGCATTTTGTCAGCATCCTTCCCTAACAGGACTATGTCATCTGCATATTCTAAGTCCATAAGACTATTCCCTGGTATCAAGTCGATTCCTAAGTCGTTAAGTTCAGTTAAGGATACTTCCATTAGCATATCTATGATGAAGTTAATCAGAAAAGGGGAAAGTGGACATCTTTGACTGACACCACTGGTTGTTATCAATTCAGATGACAATTCCCCACAAGCCCTTACACAGGTACGTGAGTTTGAGTAGTGCCTTGATTAGTGCAATGTACTTTCTTGGCACTCCCTTCACAGTCAAACATTGCCATAGTACCTTTCGATCCACGGAGTCGAAGGCCGCCTTCAAGTCAATAAATATGGCAATTGTTGGCCGCCTAAAAGTGTGTCTATGTTCTGGGATCTGTCGGAGAGTGAAGATATGATCTATGCACCCTCTACCTGGCCTAAAGCCTGCTTGATTTTCCCTCGTTTGTTCCTCCCGAGTTCGACTTAGCCTGTGCATGATTACTGAGCCTAGGATTTTAGAGACTATGTTCGTCAGGCTGATTCCTCTAAGATTATCGTATGAGGACTTGTCTCCCTTCTTGAATATTGGTATAATAAGTGACTTACCCCAATCTGATGGAACCGTCCCTGATTCCCAGACGTTACCTAGTACCTTAGTTAAACTATATACTAGTGTGTCACCCCCATATTTATACATCTCCGGAATAATTCCGTCGGGTCCTGCCGCTTTGCCTAGTTTCAGATTACAGATAGCTTTTGTGACCTCACTTACAGACGGTGCGCCAGTGTCTATATCCCATTCGGGTGTGTGCTGGATGGTGGGGAGGCTCAGTGTGGCTGCAGGCAAGTTAAATTGTTCATCAAAGTGTTCTTTCCAGCGTTCAAAGCGTCTATCCTGAGAGCTAATAAAGGAGCCATTTTTCTCAGAAATAGTCTCACATTTTCCTCTAAACGTCTCTACACCTGTGAAACATGGTTATTGAAATTCGCTAGCATAATAATTCAGTAGAAGCATTAGTTCCCGGCATATCAAGTCGTTGGTTCACTGTAACATGCAAGCCTGACCAGCACTTTAATGTCGGGAAGTGTCAGTAGCATAGATATGTATGTTATTCTGTTGGTGAACGAGACATGTATGTGTCTAGCGGCATTGCACATTTCTAATATTGAAAAATTATCGTATACTTTTCAAGTCGTGAGAAATAAGTCAGAACACGTGTGTACAGCTTTGACTTCCATTTTCGTGATGTGAGGGATGATTTGGATAAGCTGTTAGGTGTCAATCGATATCATGTTTTCGATTTTTCAGTTTGGCTCCATTATGGATAAGATTTTATTTTGATAAATCACACATTGTTACACAACAATATTAACTGATGACGTTTCCAGCACAAATTATTGCTCATAATCATATCAAGTTACTCACACAACTCTTATCCATAATGGAGTTACACTCTACCACAGTGCCCAAGTTTTATACTTCGATTCTCAGTTTGACGTCTATAAATTCCAGTAATGCGTACATTTTCTCGCTTCCTGGCTCTGTGAACTTCTTTTTGACAGTGATTTGTAATTTTCGTTTTATGTCTGACAACTGTATTTTCCAGAAAGTTCACCTCCCTGTATATTATGAGTTTATCAACCGATCTAAAAAGTGTGAAAAGCCTAGACTAGTGTGTTGAAGAGTTTATTTATGAAAAAATACGTGAGTCTAATTAACAAAGCATAAAAAATAAGAACTGTCAGACACGATATAAAGAGCAGAATCTATCAATCGCAGCCTAATCTGTTGCTTGAAGTCGATCACAGCCATGCCATTGTGAGAGTAAACCATCTTCATTTGGCTGACGATTTCTAAAACAGAGATGGCAAGAATCGATTTCATTAACGTTCAGCATCAAACACAATTAATATCACTTTGTCAGAGATTAGAATATTAGAAATCAATGTGATGGAAAACGAATGATCGTAGATAACGAATACAAATAGCTTAATGCTCCATCCTGTATGGTGATAATTTATAAGTTTGCATCTAGCAATATGACAGGAGGTTGATCATTGCTTGGAAAGCATTTACACAGCTGGACAGATTCACAGTAGGGACAATACTGAGACTAAACTGAAAACTAGGTGGTGAGAAGGGTAGGTTAGTCGGTGAGTTTGAGGACCTGGACTGACTGATGATTGGATTATTTGTTACATATTCTGATACAGTATACCTGAGCGAGTGATTTTAAAGTAAGGTGGACTTATGAGAAAGCTGAGAACACCAGACCAAATCATGGGTTACAAGAAGCCAAAGAAGTGCAGAGAAGTGCAATTTGCTGGGATATAAAATTTAATGCAGACACTCAGACTTATGCTTGGTGGGTGGGTGGTTTGTTCTCTTTATTATGAACCCAAATGTTCCACCATCTACAGCAGTCCGAGGGAATTATGCTGCATTTCAATGCATTAAACATTGTCTTATTTGATCTCGTCTGTATTTCGTCACTACAGTTTCGAAACATGCATGCGATTCTCAGGTCTATCGTCGTTGCTTCATTTGTCGTTTGAAACAGCCTCACGATCTTGACTGCTGATCAGTAGCTGTAGACCACTGTAGCTACTTCTCGTAATGCACTCCGTAATGCTTCAGCACTGTCTTCAGAAAAATTAATATAGTTTTGTTCTCATTAGAAGTCTCTGTTATTAAGCCTTATATGTCTCTTATAAGTCTTATATATCTCGTCTAGTCACACGACATCGTTCTCAGTAATTTCATTCAGTCATTTTCCACTTCTCAACATTTTTAGGGCCCACCGTAAGTTTTCTGCCTGTATACATCAGTCTAGATGACACTGCACACCTCTACTGGGCTCGGGGAACCCTTGGATTCTGCTTATCATTAACTGTCTTCACCACTATTTCTGCAACGTTAGGTCCCCTGGTTCCAAAACACAAATATGATAATTTCATGAGATATTTGAAAATGTTGGGCCTTTGGTGTGTTAATTCGGTTTCACCTTCATTCAGATGCACGCACAGATGTGCATAAAATAACACATGGATGTTACGAAAGGATCAGAGGTCTTTAACCGGTTGTCTGCACCCACATCTTGTAGCCTAGCGGTCTGTTTCAGTTCAATGTCAGCTTCATATAAGTAGTTATCATGTAAAACAATATCTTCCATTTTGCTTGAGGTTAATGCTGGTCGGAAATTAGTAATTATCTAGACTAAATTCTTAGATATAATAACCGTGGTTAGGGTTATTTCATTGACACTTGAGACCGTGGATAACTTCAATATGTTCCTCCGACAAGCTCAGTCTCCTTACTGAACACAAAAGCCACTTGCGAAGATTACTTGTGAGCGTCTCACGTTTTGTAGTCCGGGATAGGAACACTCAGACTCCTCGTTTCGTGAGCGAGGATTACAAAAAGGCATCAAAGATCATCACAGCCTTCGCCTATTTTCTCGAAACCGCTTAGCTGCTGATGATTATCTGTGGGAATACAAATAGATCTCAAGACTTTTCGCCGACAACTTCTAGAAGACTACAAAAAGAAATTATCGACAGCTGCTGCATGAATTTTGTAGACCGGGACTGTTGTACAGTTCACGTGGAATCAAAAATCCCGCTTGAGTCTTGTATGCATTTCGTAAAGATTCAAATGCATTTAAGGCGCAGAATAAAAGTACCTAATGCTTCACCCAATGGAGCTCCAATGTGGATTTTGCAGCCGGGATTTGAACAACCAGGTATTCTGTTGTCGTTTAATGGGTACAGAACAAAGATACGAGGGAAAGGCTGAGAAATGGACAGAAGGACTTCCTATGAAGTAGGAAGTTCCATTTTTATATATGTGGTGGTGTGCTGTTATGTAGTTTCGCGAAATGAACTGGTGAATTTCTGTGAACCACTTTCCGTCGAAATACCTGTCTACAAATAATTTTGTTGTAATCACTTATTTATTTCGGCAGGAAATACAAAAAGAATAGTTGCTAGAAGTCTCCTTCAAGCTATGTGGTATGAAAGGTTACACTCTGTTTGCCTTATTGGTAACCTTAGGATAGACTTGGATTTAAGCAGACCGTAGCCTTTTTCTTAAATTGGCTTCAAATCTTTGTGTGTAGAAATGTTTGACGAACATGCAGGAAGACAGATTGCTTCCAAAAGAATGAGAAGGGGGAGAACACAGAGGAATACTATTGTTTCACTGACTCACCTTTTTACGTTTGAATATTTTTGAAAGGAGTCGACTGAACAAGTTTGATTTAGTATTTCCTTTCGGTGGAGGATTCGATGTAGATGATTCATTTGGAGTTAAAGAATTACATTCGTTATCCAAATCGCGCGAGCTCACATTGCAAGATGGCTTGAAACGTGCCCCAGTTGATATTATTGCTTCGTCATGGATACTCTCCCTAGGTGATTCGTTTAACTGGAGAAAGTGTTAAAATTAAACATAGAAAGAAAACCGAGTGCACACTAACTAGATAGGTAGAATAGTATTGTTGACCACTTTGCGACAATTGGTTCTTCAATGGTTCTCCAATGAAGTGTTTCATGTAACTTTAAGCTTAACATATCGCCAGACTTTTAAATGTAAAAGTTCCCTAACGTAGCTTTTTAAAAGAAAACCCGGAAAATATGCATTTCGTGTCAACAGATTTGCTGTGGAAACACTAATATACACATGAATGTCTCAGTACATCCGATTAAGTTACACCATAAAATCTGTATCACAGATTTCAGTCTCAGGGTAGCTGATTGGTTTGACTGTCAACAAATTGGTTCGGGATTTAAATTCCATCTTATCTACTTTCCCCAAATAATTGGTTGAATTCACAATCTGTCACACAACGAGTTTCGTGCATTGCATACACCGGGTTGTCAATTCACTTTGTAAGGTTTTCCTGATAACCATTAACCAGAATGCGACTTGTGTAAACAAAGCCGGTATGCTGATATGAACTCATCAATTCCAATGCAATTACATATACTGACAACAGGAGATTTGGGAATATTTTATCACTTCACTACATTTCAGTCAGTTTATTATTATTACTTACTTTGACTAGTAGTAACTGGCAAATCTATAGATTGAACAAGTATACTCTGTTCCCCTGTTTATCCACTTCCACAAAAATACAAACATTTCAATCCGACGAAACAACACCAAACACTTCATTTAGGTAAATTCAAGTGTGTCAATGTCTAAATACAATGGATATGAAATTATTGTTCAGGAAAACATCAGCTAAACCCGTGTGACGTGTCTACGGTTCATATTGATAAGGACACGTTTTCTTTAAGAGATAAAAGCAGACAATATTACATGCACACAACCCCTGAATATATATGTATATATATATATTCTCGTCTGCATCAGCCTTATTTCATTTCCACTGCATATCAACTAGAAGCCTTAAATTAAGTGAAGCGTAAATTCATATAGTGTTCATACTTCATTTTAATTAATTAATTATTATTGTGATAATTGTAACAAAGCATGTAATTCACGCCTATTCATCTTTATAAATTAAACAATACCTTATCCTTTTCGAAATCTTCATCCGGTGCTGAATCGGCAGTGTTTGAGGGAGGTGCTGTCTCGTTTAAGTTATTATGAATATATTTGTATTTCTGTAAGGAAAGCGGAATAAGAAGTATGAGCAGTGAGTATCAGCACGACTTCAGAGTAAATCTACTGAGAAACTGTTTGGACAAAATGTTTAAGATTGTCTAGGTTCAAAAGGCGTTTGTCGGAAACGAAAGTAGATTATGCATCGCGAAAAGGTTGAAAATCATTGTCCAATCAACTTAAGCCTGATAGCTGAATAGCAATATACTCACCTCTCGATCTGGAGGTCCTGTGCTCGGTCAGTAGCAAGGTTTCGCCTCTGCACCACAGATAAATAGACCCCCCTAAACACTGTACAACTATCCATTTTAATGATCTCTCTAGATGATATCGGTTCGCAACTAAATTTAGCATGAAACCAATCAAATACTAGCAAACCTACTCACTTAACACAATGATTTCTCTAAATTTCCACTGCCCGATCAAACAGTTAATAAACTTCTACCATGCATAGACTGACAGTGCAATATTTACATGCTATATGTAGACTGTATATAAGGTCATGCAGTTAGGTGGAAATTTGAATGAGACTAGAGAATAAATGAGGTGCTTACGATGTACCAGTCTTTATAGTGCAGAACAGAATGAAATTTTCTTTTCTACATATGTGATGTGGCACTGATAGATAGACAGGAAATAAGAGATATTTGACTATCTTATACCGGCAAATCTGCAGAAACATTGGTGTACGGGTGAAATTAGTCGCACAAATATAAGCAGAAAAGATACCTGCTGCATTTCTAGCGAAAAGCTAGAACACTTGTGTCGGATATCTGCCCAATTCTGAGGTGCATATAGAACGGAAGAGCTTTCCAGGTAGTCACAAGAGAAAACAATACAGTGAGGCTGCTCGCTATTTAATAGAATATTATAGAGAATACATTGGTGAAATGGGTAAACACTTCTCACTTCCCTCTCTACTTTTGTTGATCACTCTGCATACATGTATGATTTCTTAGTCTGTATTTCAGTTGTCCGACCTGTTTGGCGGTCTAAACAAGACGAACGAATCATTTTCGGCACTGACTTACACTTTCTCGAATCTCATACGCCACAAGATCCCTTGGCACGTCTTCCTGAAGAGTACCAATAAAAACAAGATCTATGTGTTGGACTTCTCACGCATCAACTCCTAAGGACTAATGCCAAGATACTTCAATGTACATTAGTGTTATGCCACATTACTTAGTGACCACATTGCATTTTTGATCGATAAATTTGAGTGGACACAATAGAAAAGCGGATTGCTTATCAACCGGGGATTAATTCATGTGCATCTTCAACATTTAATGTTGACCACCTCATTTCATAACGTGTATATATTGGTCAGTGCTGTGCACTTCCAAATGCACCATTTCTCAGTCACTTTCCTTCGTTTACGACCAAGACTTCCAAGGTAAACGATGGCCGAAATATCTCAGTCTTCTTTGTTCTTCAACTCTGGGTAATTTATAGTCATGAAATACTATCAATAGAATGGAGATGTGTTACTGACTCCTTATGATTCACTAGGAACGTAAGGAGTTAATAATAATATTAGTAATAATATCAATGGTAATTAAGAGCACAAGTAAGCCGTATAGTTGACCGCCGGCTGACTTGTGTTAGACGAAATACTTTTCCATATTTGAAGTATCAGTAACAGCAATAATATAATTATGATTATTAATAGTAGTGGTAGAAGCAGTAGTAGTAATACTGGAATCAGTTTTCCTCAATTAAAGTCTGAGATTATCCATCAGTAATTAGTGCATGGTGTCGATACAGCACAAAAAGCTCCAGTCAATAGAGAAACACAAATTGAATGTCTACCATCAGAGCACATATATTAATGTGTATTATAAAACCAGGTTGAAACGACTACAGGGAAGGATGGGTAGTATTCGCCTAGAAATGATGTTATCTTGTAACAAACAAAGTAGAATATCATTGAGAAAACTGAATCATCTGAGGTCACGCAGCATAGAAGAGACATTTTCCGATGGCGGAAATATGTCGAGCTTAGTTAGAGACGAGCATTCGTTAGCAAGGGGGATTCGGAGCATTTAGAAAGTAGCAGCCTCATATACACGTGTATTCTACACCAAGACTGATGCATTATTGGAAAGTGTAAAATCTCACCAAGTACCGTCTGACTAAGAATAGCTCTCACACAGAAGAAAAACGAAAAATGCCAGAGAATCCCTGGAAGACTAATTTGCAATTAAAACCTATCAGATAATACGGTATGTGTATGCCTACGACTGAATGGACATGGGAAAGGGGCTTCTATGAAAATGACACCTCCCCAACTTCATGAGAACACTAAGTCACCATTTAGAGAGGAGGGTGACAGACGCGTATCTGAGACTAACAGCATAACTAGGCCTGACGAAGCCTGTCACGGTATAGAGTCCCCCGTAGTAATAGTGTTCAACGCAGTTGGTAACCAGAAACCAAAGGTTAGTAAGCGTCTGTGAAATTTTGCTACTTCGTCCAAACTGAAAGGCCCATCAAGACTCATTCTGGTGGCCTCTGAATATGAAAAACAGTGAGAGCCACTAAGATGTAAGCTACTACTAGACTGGTTAGCCTACGTGTTACTGAACATCTCCCATCATGGTTTGGTAAAGGACAGACAAAAACCATCCGAAGCGCTGTGTGATTTATCAAAATGAAATCTTATCCATTATGGAGACTCTGTGTTCGTCTGCTGCATATAGCAGAGGCGATTGACCTTAGAACTATTAAGCCAAAACCCAAGTCAAGAAAGAGTGTCTATTTATCATATCATTACGTATCGACAGATAGGAATACTTACAGGCGTGCAACACCTGCAATACTTCTTGAAGTGAAGGGGGAATTTAACTGCATCGACTTTGTGGGAATTGTGCCAATGTCTAGTCGTGAAAGGGGCGGCAAGAATTTACACTATACTTACTAATCAAGACACTGTAACTGAACTCATGCAGGCGTGTAACAGGTGACGGAAAGTCTTAGTTTGTATGCCTAATTCATGCATCATACTTTTCTATGCTACTGACATATTGAGGTTCACTGTTAGAAAGACGAAATACATTGAAATGAATCAAAATAGCGGTTGTATAATTGAAGCGGAAGAAAGACTCACCAAATTCTTACTATCTGAGTATCTCTGATTGCATATCATTGCTGATAGGTCCTCCTCAGACGAAGTTGTATCATCGCTACCGTTAGAGCTTGAGAGGCTTGTGATCATGTCATTGTTTGCTCCATTCATTGAATTTTCTCGAAGATTTTCAATATCTTCCAATACCAATCGAGCAGGATGCAGACGATGATATGAATATCGTAATACTTCATGCTTTTCCATGAAATCTGACCAAATAATCCTTAAGATTTCAGTGCAGCGTTGGCGCAAGGCGATATCGAATGGTTCTTCATTTTGAGCATTAGTCATCGGACGTATATCTACATTCTCGTTTGGTCCACTAGTATCACGAGAAAAACAGTCCAGTTCCAATCTATCTTTGTTGGCTCGCAATAATTGCTTCACGATGTCAGCATGTCCCATTGATACTGCAATATGCATCGGATTATCTGATTCAGTGTCAACTATATCAATCCTAGCGTGGAAATTTAACAGCATCGTCACAATACGCCTCTGATTGTGAAGTGCTGCAACGTGCAGTGGTGTTCGACCTAACTATGGATTTAAGCAGAGAAAAGTGTTACATTTTAGGGACCATGAGTGGTGAAAGAGAGAAAAACAACTTGGAAGTTAGCCAACAGTTGGGTATATAAAGTTGTTAGCAGAAGTTTTTTAAAAATTGTACCCTTTTAATATCCATTCACAAGAGATATCAGTAAGGAAACGTGTGCCTTCATAAGGACTCTGATCGACATCATTCATCAGCAAGTTACTCAGTTTGCAGTTATTCTCATGCTATATAGGACTGGATCCTGCTCGCAAGTCCTCCACTATACGGTGAGCAGCGTCAACAACATGCATTGAGGCTTATATAGTGAAATCTGTAGTTGATCGTCAACTGAATACTAAACAGTGTATGGCCATGTAGTCCTGCTTAAATTCATGACTTTTCAGTAGTTCATAAATTCAGCAGTTGAAACTGAATTTATTCGCTCTTGCATTTCCTTGACATTCCTTAACTCAAAATGGGTTTCAACGTACCTTTCGAAAATTTGAAGACTTAATTAAGTGTCTACGAAGTGAAGTACTCCTAATTAGCAGGGTGAACCACTGTTCTCCCTATACCTCCCTGTTAATCAATCGGGACAGAAGGAAAAGAAAGTGCTCACAATTTTAAAGATGATAAACAAAGATGATAATAGTCGCTGATCTCTTTATGAATCGATTCGAAAATAACATCTTTTCAAGCATACGCAAGCCTAAAATGTAGTTAAGATACGTTGATGATACTTTCCTAGTGCTGAAACGAGATCTGCACATTTTATTCTTGGAGAAACTGGACAATCCATCTCCCAGAATTCAGTCTACTTCGGAAGCAGAATCAGACGTCGGTGAACTGCCATTTCTAGACTGCCTAGTTAAGAGGAGGGAAAACGGGTATTTTAATATATCTATATCCAGGCAGAAAACCCACCCCAACGAATATTTAGACTTCGGGTCATCACACCCCATCAGCGCAAAGTCATCAGTCGTGTCAAGTCTTCTTAGACGAGCGCAGCCTTCAATAACGGATGGGAAGGAAAGGGAAAAGAAATATCAAACATTACTGAGACTCTCAAGCAAAATAACTACTCAAAGACCTTCATCAACACTGACACTAAGTACGGTCGAAGACGTGTTCCGAAGACATGGGCCTCAACAGTCGTCATTTCATATAGATCAGAGACGTCAGACGATATCAGAGGAGTAATCAATAAGCACGACGTCAGAGTTTTCTTCAAAGCATCAGACTCACACACTACAAAGCAACCTTGTCCTTATAAAAGACCAAATCCTCAAGGATTCTCTATCTAATTGTGTCTACGAAATAATAATATGCTTGGAATGTGATGCAATATACGTCGGACAAAAATCGCCAGAGGGAAATCAAAATCAGAAGAAATGAACACCGTGGAGCATCTAATCAACCACTGAGAAATCCAGTTGAACTAGAAAAGCCTGAAAAATCATCAGCCATAGGTGGTCTATACGTCATAGAATCAGGTCACAAAATTGATTTTGACAATATTGAAATCATCATCCGGAAAAATTTCAAAAGTCATAAAGAACGTCTAATATCAGAAGCACTTCATATCGAGTGGAATCCAAATTGTCTGAATAGGAATGATGAAATGAAACAGAATTCGACCTAGTTACAACACCTTCCTCCCACATGAAGTAACAAAATCAACACACGCTGCTTTTATAATTTCATACACTTATCAAATCCAACAATGTACACCTGGTTTTGTTATCTTTACCAATTGGCCAACTTGACAACGCAAAAATGACCCCATGCTGATGGACGATGACTTAGTTGTTATATATACGCTGAGGTTTTGTAAATTCTAGTTTGATAAATACTTTGATAAAGCTATTAGCATTAAGTAGCGTTTTTTTCCATTCTATGGGAAATACAAAAATCTTTGATTAAAATGACAAAGAGTGAATACATCTGCACAATCGTGAAAGGATTCCAGTCTCTAAGTTCCCTGAGGACCTCAGTCACACAATCTGTGTGGCTCAGCTCAACAGTCACAGACGTAATGAATTCTCACTATATTTTGACTTAAAAAACCCTACTTATTTTCCAAACTAATTCTACTAAAGTAAACACTGTTGACCAGAGATGTCGGTAAACTGACATGCTGAAGACGCACCCTAGCCACTTCTAAAATCAACTTTACAGTACTTCTTGATTTTCGACAGTTCTTCCAGCTGATACCAATTTGTGAAGACACCAACGCGCAAATCTAAAATCTGATGTATTGCTGATTGTGCATATTCATTCATTTGGCGAGAAGTTTATTTTCTTGCTGTGCTTTCAAAGATAGAATGAACGAAAAGTATTAAAGACCATTTCATTCTAGAACTATTCTCTTTTAACTAATTCACACCATTCATCTTACTTACTGGACAGGTACAAGAAATAATGGACTTACAAATCCAATGCTGTGTACACCTCAATCTACACAAACTGACAACCTACAGACAATTACGAAGCTTTCGGTAATTTTTTGTAATTAAGGTATTGTCTAAATCCTGACACTTCATTAGTCAGTCGGAATACACACTTAGACTAAGAGAGATTAGCAGAGTTATTAAGAAACGATTTCGTAAGTCTTGGGACACAGTGAATAATTTTTAATTGCATACTCTAGCACATTCAAACGCATGTGCGATGTAAACACGTAGGATTATAATCGATACAAGGGCTTACCCATTTGCTTAGTAAACAGAATATAAAATCTTCCAATGAATTCATCAGCTTAGGCTACAAGGTGTATTACAGCTTTTTCACATGTATATGCATATGCATATGAATTATCCATTTTCTATTTCAGTTGTTGAGTGAAGTATGTCACCTTACAATAATTGTAGCACAAAAATAATAGTCAAGAGTTTTATCACTCCACACCATGCTAGAGTGTAGATCGAATCGTCAAAAAAGAGGATGATCAAATACAAAATATACTAGTATAATATCTTTCAATTAAACCCATAGTGAACTTAAAACAGCTATTGAGGACTAAATCTGTAATTAGTAGAGTAAAGTAAACATAAATTCATGATATCGAGCGAGACCATAGGGAAATTCACTATCACTTGATGAGTGTCTCAGAACACAGACTCCTCGTGTTGACTGAAGTCAATCGATAAAGTCTACAAAGCGACTCAAAACTTGGTGCAATATAATTCTCTAATGTCGATACTCGTCTATGACCATTTGGGAAAATCACAAAAACAAATTAATGACAACAGGACTGATTGCTTAGGCATTCTTCACGATGATAGGAAGAACAGATGGAATTCTCACGACAGAGTTGAGTTTATACAAAATTAAAATATTTTTTATATTCATAAATGAGAAAATCTGATTGAACTGCTGTTTCATAATTTCACCTTGTTTACTAGTCGGTCCTAGGTCCAGAAAAGAGGTAGGCTGAGTATGGGGCTAGCAACCTCACCGCATAATAATACACCCTCATCACCACTGAACCTGTAAAGCACACGAAATGTAGACTTATTCCCCACTGGAATCGAAACCACTCCTCAATTCGTCGACGGATGACGCAAGTTTGCGGAAGCCTTCGGGAAGTCAGTCCGCCGGTAAGTCTTCTTTCGATGAAAGCGAAAGTTAGCATGTCCTCACCATGCTTCAGGCTAGTGGCAATAATGCTGAGGTCGCATGTGGAAATCATAAGACATGGTGTGTGAGTGTTAGTGTAAGGCCAGGTAGACTGGAAGTAGACTCTAAAAATTGTTGACTGGAAGGTCAATATTCTCCTCCGCTCACCCAGATGACAAACACAGGCTCACTGAGGAGATGGCTATCATTGAGTTAGTGGTAATATCAAAAGTTCTCATTCAGTGCGAACCAATCCCCCCAGGATCGTAGCAACAAGGTTCAACTCACTTCAGTGGTGATGTGTTACCTGAACAGAATAGTATAATCATGATGCTTTCGCTGCTACTCTAGCCAATATTTTTAGCACGGACCTCAGAAGGAAGTGGTGTATTAGAATTTCAAAAAGTCGTTCAGTAACATGTTATGATGATATGATATGTATTCAGTGACTACCACACAACTTATATCCAGTAATAACTTGGTTCCAACAATATTATTTCACTTTTGGAAAGCTTGGCTCAGACCCTCTTTTCTGTTTCGCTATCGACTTAGTTTGTCCTACAAATATGATTTCCATTCAAGTGTTGGATTGTGGGGATTTGATTGGTTTCATGATTTCATCATGAGCTGACATCGATTAGAGAACTATTGGAAGACCAACTGAGAGTACTAGACATCTGTTTCGTCCCGGCTTGGGACTCTTCAGCACCCACCGGTGGTCGAACGCAGTGAGAACTTACTACTCGCTTACCCAATCACTCACACACTCAACTGCTCGCATTTCGGGCAGAGAATTCAGAATTCCTATTGTTTAAAATCTAGTGCATCAACTGAGATAGCCTATAAGTGCTTGTTGTTTCTTATTGCATCTACAGGTGTTGTCAGTTTGTATGAACTGCCTTCAAAGTAGTTACACTATACAACCACTCGTCTTCCCCCACCACCACCATCTCCACAACTACTACGCAAAATAAACAACTAACAAATATAAATTATCAAGTATTGGTTTGGTAGGGATTTTGTTTAATTATAATTGGAGGATTTCATCATGACAAACAAACAAAATCCCTACCAAACCAATACTTGAATATTAATCTGATGCTCACTAGTGACTTGCCCTATTCAGGCAGTTAACCTGGGGTTCTAGTGGGAAGCCAAGACCAGTAGGGTACAGCAGGTTGAAGATGTGACAGTAACTCATCGAAGAAGACATTGCGAAATGGTCGCGCTGTGTCGTGAATTGGCAGAAGTTAGAATTCAAAATCATTGGATCGGGTCCCAGTGGCTCAATAGTCTACGAGCTCGCCTTGTAACCAGAAGGTCCTGATTTCGAATCCCGGTGTGTGCGTACGGTTGAAGATTCCCAAACCTAGGACGAAACAGCTGTCCAGTACTCCCAGGTTTTCCAGTGGTTCTTTAACTGATGTCAGCTCATGATGAAATCCTCCAATTGAAATATAAATTACTGTGCAACTGGAAAAGTCATCAACCCATTTG